TATATTAGGTTAGGGTTATTGATGGGGTGTTCCTCATGGCTCGGCCGCCGATCGAGAACTCGGTTATGATTGTGTTATTTGCCTAGTTCTGCTGAACTAAATTGACTAAAAATTTCGCCACTTTTCACTTTACACGACAGTGTCGTATTCAGTATATTTTGTTCTCTAGCCTGCCTAGGTGAAACACTTGTTTTAAAGCAATATNTTCCTCACAGGTGCTTAAAAGCAATGGAAGAAAGGTTTGATAGAAAAATGATAGAGTGGTCGGTCGGGAGAACTGATTGATTGAATGTGTTCGCACTTCGCAGAACAGCGTCTATGACAGTACACGGCAAAATGAGAGATGCAAAGAAAAAATATCATAGCAGGGAACTAATCCGATAGAGGCGCCACGAGTTGCCGCAAGCCTTGTTGTTTTCGTCGATTGTCTTCAAGTCCTCGGTCCCATCAACATTGGCCGCTCTTTCTAATTCTGTCACCAAGAGCTCGACCAAACACTTGCCAACTCTGGCAACTTCTTCCCTTTGGTCGTGCCGTTTCTGTTAGCCACTGTCAGCAACGACAACAACCGAAAATAGAGCTGAACCTTTGTGTTGCTTTTAGTGTTTACTAGTGCCGGCATTATGTGTGACGAACAGGTAATCTGTGCCGGGTACCATGTGAAGTTACTTACCGTGTCAAGTTACCTTATTCACAGGAGCTGATCCAGCTTGAGGTGATGTGCAAGCAGCTGTACGAGTCTAGCGATACAGAAGAGAGAAAACGAGCCGAGAATGCGCTTTTTTCTAACAACTTGGACTTAATGAAGTGTCGTCTATTGCTAGATCGAAAAAACGTAAGTTTACAAAGATTCTGGAAATGATAAAAACAAAACTAATTCACGATTTTCATTGCTAGTCTTCCTATGCTCAACTCCTCGCTGCAAGTACCATCTCGAAGATTATCACCCGCAATCCAAGTGGACTTTCTTTAGAACAGCGTCTTGACATACGCAACTACATTTTAAATTACCTGGCCTCTAACTCAAAACTGGCACCTTTTGTCCTTCAAGGCTTAGTAACACTGTTTGCCCGGATTACTAAAATTGGGTGGTTCGAGAGTACAAAGGAAGATGAGTACGTGTTTCGGGAAATTATTCCTCACATTACTCCATTTGTCCAGGTAAAATTCAGCTTAATTGACTGAGTAAATAAGTAACGGTCAGCATTTTATTGCAGGGAAACGTAGAGTTTTGCAATATTGGCGTGCAGCTTATATCAAATCTTGTAATTGAAATGAAGTATGTTACTACCTTTTTCTTTAGTTTTTCATTCTCTAACATTGTTGCTTTTAATCAGCCAACCAAGTTCCCAAGATGCAAATCGATCTTTATTCAGGCATAGAAAAGTTGCTTCCTCGTTTCGTGATAAAAACTTGTTTGAGTTTTTCCAACTGTCGCAAGATTTACTTCAACGTGCACTAGACGGTCTTAAAAGCACCAAATTTTTGGATGATAACCAACAAACACTCATTAGCAACCTCTTGAAGCTTACAATTAACTGCCTTTCCTTTGATTTTATCGGTGCCTCATCTGACGATTCATCTGACGACTTAACTTGTAATTATTTTATTTTGTGCTTTCTATCTAACAGTTAATACTTGAATTTTCTAACACATTTAGGCGTCCAAATTCCAACCAATTGGCGTCCTGTTTTCCTTGATGCAAACACGTTAAAGCTATACTTTGATTTGTTTCATCTTCTGCCTTCTGGACTTTCTGCACTGGTATGTGAATTTTTATTTTCAAATTGTAAACTTATGAGACTCTTTTCTCTTTAGTCTCTCTCATGCCTAGTTCAGCTAGCCTCTGTTCGCCGTACACTGTTTAACAATATTGAACGTGGTACCTTTCTGAACAACTTGATAACCGGAATTAGGTGCATTTTGGAGAACCCTCAAGGTTTATCCGACCCTAGCACATATCACGAATTTTGCCGCCTACTAGCTCGCCTAAAGACCAACTATCAGCTGGGTGAATTGGTTAAAGCCGAAGAATACCCGAAAACGTTGGAGCTGATCGCCAACTTTACCATAACCAGTTTAAGAGTAATTACAACTTTATATGAGCTTTGGTTTATTTTTAATTCTCTTTTTTGTAGTTGTGGACTGTAGCCTCAAACTCGATACACTACTTATTGATACTATGGCAGAAAATGGTCACTTCTGTGCCTTATGTAAAAGCCAACGAGCCTCATCTCTTGGAGCGATTTGCGCCCGAAATCACCAGAGCTTACATTACTTCACGTCTAGACTTGGTCAACGAAGTTGTGCTTAACGGACTTGATGACCCATTTGAGGAAATTGTAATGATTCAACAGCAACTGGAGCAGCTCTCAACCATTGCTCGGTGCGAGTACGAATCGACGTGCACTCTTTTAGTCTCACTGTTTGACCAAACCGCCAAGACATACCAAGAACTGATGCAGTCAATCCTCAATTCTCAAACGCAATTGGATGTCGAGATTCAAGAAAACCGACTGACCTGGCTAGTGTACATCATTGGTAAGAATTTTTCATTATTTTGTTCAAGACTTAACACTTTTTATCATGTTTCAGGCGCCGCAATCGGAGGTAGGGTTTTCCTCAACAGCAGCGACGAGCAAGACCACATGGACGGAGAGCTAGCATTTCGAGTGCTACAACTAATGAACTACACTGATGTCAGACTGTCGCAAGGTGGTTTCTGCAAGAAGCTCGAGTTGGCATTTCTAAGCTTTTTTGAACAATTCCGAAAGACCTATGTCGGAGATCAAGTCCAAAAAACGTCTTCTGTCTACAAGCGTTTGTCAGAAGTTTTGGGCTTGAACGAAGAAACTATGGTATTGAGCGTATTTGTCCGTAAAATGTATTACACCAGTCATCTTTTTAACTTTACTCGAGACTAACTTTTATTTTTTGTAGTATTACCAACCTAAAGTACTGGGGCAACGATGAATCGATCGTCTTGAAGACGTTAAAAATTCTAAGTGATCTTTCCATTGGCTACAGCAGTGTCCGCAAACTTGTTCAGCTTGATGAAATTCAGTTCATCTTGAACAGTCATACCGTAAGTTGTTTGGTTATTTTTCACTTGTTGATCAACTAACATTTTCTATTTAGCCTCAAAACTTCCCTTTTCTCAGCAACACCTTCGATATCAACTACATGAAATGCCGAACTATTTTCTACACCTCTCTAGGTCGTCTTTTCATGATTGATTCGGGTGAAGACGAAGATAAGTTTGAAAAGTTTATGCAACCGTTGACAAGTAAGTACTACCGTTTGAAATTTCATTATTTAAAGTTTTCAATTTCAGCTTCTATGGATACGTTGAAAAGTATGCTGAGCAACAAGTCCTTGTTTGGTCAAGAAGAGACCAAGGTAAGTCAGCTTTTCACATTTGTGAACTTTTTTGTATAGTAATTTATAAATTATCTTTTACATCAGAGAGCATTAATTGGAATCGCTCGGGATTTACGCGGTTTAGTCTTTTCATTTGTTTCCAAGTCAAACATTATGATATTCTTCAACTGGATGTAAGTATTAGTTTTAAGGCACACAAAATTCCTCTTAATAAATGTTCTTTATTTCTGAGCAGATATCCAGCCTACACGCCGGTGTTCCACGCCGCCATTGACATGTGGTGCCACGATCCACAAGTGACAACTCCAATACTAAAGTTGTACGCTGAACTGGTGAATAATCGCTCACAGCGACTTCAGTTTGAAATCTCTTCCCCCAACGGAATACTCCTGTTTCGTGACGCCAGCAAATTACTTGTCAACTATGGCTCTAAAATTCTAATGATTGGCGACATTGCTGCTGACCAGATCTACCCGCTCAAGTTGAAGGGAATTTCCATTTGCTTTTCCATTCTTAAGCTGGCCTTGAGTGGTTCATATGTCAATTTTGGCGTTTTCCAGCTGTACGGTGATCGTGCACTTGACGATGCCTTAAACACAATCATCAAGCTCATTCTGTCGATAACCATTTCCAACATTCTCGTAAGTAGCACTAACTCAACTGGCAATATTCTTTTCTAACTAACTCTTGTTGGGCGCAGGAATATCCTAAACTCAGTCAATCATACTACATCTTACTCGAATGCATTGCTCAAGATCATATGAAGTTTCTCGCCAACTTAGAACCAAATGTTTTCTTCTACATTATATCTTCAATTTCTGAAGGTCTCAATTCACTTGATCAAATCTGCACTGCGTGCTGCTCTATTCTGGACCACATCGTTACTTACATTTTCAAAGAGATATCTAAACAGAACAAAAAGAAGGATTTTAACGAAGTTCAGACATGCATAAAGCTCATCGAACTAAAGCCTGAAATTCTCCAGCAAATGCTTTCCACCATTTTGAATATCATCATGTTCGAAGACTGTCGCAATCAGTGGTCAATGTCCAGACCACTGTTGGGTTTGATTCTCCTCAACGAAGACTACTTTAATCAACTACGACAAAGTATCATAGCACAGCAGCCTCTCGAAAAGCAAGCTACGATGAATCAACTTTTTGACGACCTCATGAATGGAATCGAGAGAAACTTACTCTCAAAAAATCGTGACAGGTTTGTTAAATTTGGCTGTTGTAGGAATATATTTTTAATTTGCTTTTTTACATTAGGCTGACCCAGCAAATATCTCAGATGAGGTAAGAATTGTAATTTTATCGATGACTAAACCACCTAACACTTTTTTACGTCTGACCTTTAGAAAATCGCTCTCTGAGTATCAGAAAACACCAACAAACAGCGGGGGAATCAACGATATGATGAACTGAAAGAACTGTGAATTCGACTGTAATAACCTAAACGATTTAATAAATTTTAAAATGTTTTATAATGTATTTGAATTTAAATTGTATAAATAAAATATCACAATTTAATACTTTATTCAGTATATGATTATTTGCTTTTAATTTGTCTTGTCTGTATAATACTATAGAATAAATATATATAGCATAGATTTATAAGGTAATGTACATGTTGTTATTGGATTCATAAAATAATGAAAGAATAAAAGACAGGTGACAAACCTAAAAGGGGTTGTTGTTGATGGTATTTGTATGATTATCAATCACATTGATTAACTTCAGGATTAAGGAAGTCCCAGATGAGAATGGTGTCGTCGTGTGAACTGCTGACAATCTGAAAGTCGTCAAACTGAAGTCGAAAAACACGTCCCGTGTGCTCCACCAAAGTACGCAAACAAAGAGTCCCAGCAGGAGAGCGAGGGTCCAGTGCAGCAGTCAAGTCCCAAACTTTAATTTTCCTGTAAAAACGCATTAGACACTGAAAGAAGAGGAGATTTAAGCTTATCAAGACTCACCCGTCATAAGCTCCGCTGACAATGCGCTTGTTGTCAACTCTAATGCAGCGAACCAGCTCATCATGGCCTTCCAAGATTCGAAGGCACGTTCCGAACTCAATGTCCCATAGCCTGTAGTCATTGATAACAAGATTAATAAATACACAGCCGTTCATGCCAACAAGTAGTCATACCGAATGGTGTTGTCTGAACTTCCGCTGACGACAAGGCGCTCTCGATATTGCAAACAGGCAATTCCTCGTTTGTGTCCGTTTAGTGTTCGAACAAACTCACAGTCTGAGGTCTTCCAAACTTTGATTGTTCGGTCACCGGAAGCTGAGACAATGTACTTTTCGTCAAAGTCGACTACATTCACAGCCGCTCGGTGGCCGACCAAAACACGACGCAGGTTGATCTCATTGGGGGAGACCATGTCCCAGACAGCGATGGAACGGTCTTTTGAGCATGTCACCATCATTCCATTGTTGAAACGAAGATGCAAAACAGCTTCACAATGATGAATTAGTGTCTTGATCATCTGTCCCGTTTTAACGTCCCACACACGAACTGTTGCATCGCTGGAGCCACTTATGATGACTTTGTCGTCGTATTGCAAACATAAAACTGACCCAGTATGGCCGGTTAAAATCTACAATAAATAAACAAGCAAGTTATAGTTGCTGCTGATTGTTATTGACAAGGCAAGATTTTACCTCAGTACAGTGTAATCCTTTACGATCCCATATTTTGATGGTATTATCACGAAGTCCGCTGATAATCTTTTGATCATCATATTGTAGACAGTAAACGCCTTTACTGCCTTCACTTCGACAGTTGATGCGTTGCAATGTGTGACGACCACATCTCCAGTTATTTTCCGTCGTCTTTATATCTTGAATAATTTTAGGGAATAATCTTCGATAAAAGTAGTGGTCAGGGTGTTGTTCTCCAGGAACAGGCTTGAATAAATACTTTATCCTAAAGTAACAATAAATTAGCAAATCAAACATGTTTGCCGTTTAGCAGAAAAATAAACACTTACCAGCCACGACGGTGAGCAAGCCCTTTCCACAAGGAGTCTGACCTAACTCTTGATTCGATTAGCTTTTTCCAAAGCATTCCCTCGGAGATAACTCTGTGCCATTCTTTGCACACTAGTTCTGCTGAACACAATGATTTTTCGTCGATGTAGGTGAGAATGTTTTCCGCAACATGGTCTAGGCCCTTTTCTAAAATAGAACAAAAGTAAACAACAATAAAAATAAAAAACGTACGATGATCATACTTGGAAGGAGGGTGATAAAGTCTCGTTGAAGCATTGGTTTGAGGAATAGGTTAATTTGAGAATGTTGATAGTGGGACATCTCGGAAAGTAAAGCTTGCACAAAATGATTTTGATCATTTTCGTTCCAGTTTTTGAAATACTGGGATACAAATTCACTCCGATGATCATCAGTGAACTCTTTTGTTTGAACTTCCATTTTGGTTTCCATACAGTCGGCCATTCGAGTTTCAGTCATTGGCTCATCCTGCAAGTATAAATTTGCCAATTAGATTAGAAAAAGCTGAACTTGATGCACAAAATAACGGTAATTACAGTAATATTTTGGTCGGGGAAGCAATTACTGGCCATTGGAACGGCGTCCATGACTGAGTTTCGAGCAGTGTAGAGAACAACAATGAGTAAAATCCGTGGATGTGATAAATGCGAAGAACACTGTTGATGGCGGCGGTGAACTTTGCACGGGGTGGGACGAGGTGGGCCGCACAGAAAGTGACGTCAAAGAACACGGAACATCGGTGTCGTACACGAAAAGACGACCAGAGTGATCAGAGATAAAAACAGAGCTGCTCACTCTCCGTCAGCAGAGCGGACTCATACACTTGCGTGACGCAGCTTGCGCCTTAGCATTTTTTTTCTGCAAACTGTTACGTCCTCTACGATTTGCCCCTGCTAGGAACTGATTTCCCAATTTCTTAAAAGCTTATCAGTACAAGTTTTAGTGTGACTAATACAAAGTAGATAGTCGACTTGTCACAGAAAAATTCATCTTAAGATGAAGAAAAGCCTTTTTTGAACACTTGGCCAGACACTCTTCAGATGCTTGTTAGGACTTGGCTGAGGACGGTGTCCTCAAAACAGGACTAGAAGACGGATCCTTCATTCCATTTAATCTTCTTCTTCCATGATTATAATTTAATTAAACTCTGACTGACGCCATCTTCATAATGCCATCTAATAGAGATGAGCCCGTCACCTGTCTTGCCCCTCGCTGATATCAGGCCAGTGATTGGCCTACTTTGAGGGGTACAACATGTAGGCCAACAAAAGGGCAGAAGAGAAAGAGAGAGACAGTGGGCCGAGACCAATAGGTCATGGCCTATTTTTATTTCCAGTGAAGCATCTCTCGCTCTCCTTTGCTCTCTTTCACCCGTCTACAATTCCCGGATCTTTGCATGTCAAGAGAGAAGCGCAGTGTCGTCTTGAAGAACGACTCTTCCCTTATCTTTTGTTAACTCTTTCAAAAAGTGGCGCGATAAAACGTGAATCATATTTTACTTTATTTTCCAAGTTATTTAACACAGTTCACATTTCTTCTTCCTCCTCTTCCTCCACCTCATCTTCTTTAGTATCATGAGCTGACGTTTGCTTTAGTTTTCTCTTTTTTATAAGGGCAAACTTTTTCTCCATGTTCTTAAACTGAAGAGCTTTCCTGTAATTCCAAAATAATTTTAAAGAATTAGAAATGAAAATGGCAGAACTGAAAATTACTTTTTGTTAAAATTTTTAAGATGATCAGGAATTTCAGCACCTGATTGCCGCAAAATATTCAGTATAGCACACAAGTTTTCATCGTCTTTTTGGGTGTAATATGTGATGGCCGATCCCTTTCTGCCAGCTCTTCCGGTGCGACCGATGTGATGAATGTAGGCAAACTTGGAGCTCGGGCAATCGTAGTTAATAACTGAAGGATAAGCACATTTTAAATCTGATTCGCTCAGTGAAACTATCATACCTTGGTTGACCGCCTTAAAGTCGATGCCTCTTCCCATGAGCTCGGTACATATCAGAAAGGGGATTGTTCCCTCGCGAAAGGCTCTCACAATTTTATCCCGTTGTTCTTGACTTCTGTCAGCATGAATACACTCTACCATGATGCCCATGGAAAGTAGTTCTCTCTGCAAAAAGCTTGCCTTTTTAATCTTGTTCACAAAGATAATCAGAGGCGTTTGGCAGCCACTTGAAATGTGACTTTTTAAAGCAAACAGTTTTCCTGTCTCTGATCCGGTAAAGAGTAGCTTTTGTTCCACCGTTTCGGTAACTGTGTTTTTGCCGCCGACGAGAACAGTAACTAAATTGTCCAGATGCAATTTGCACCAGTTTTCCAAATTCATGTCGTAGGTGGCACTGAATAATGCGTGATTAAGCTTCGCCTTTGATTGATTGCATACATTAAATATGAGCGAAAGCTGAGACCGAAAAGTGGGCTCAAACAGTCGGTCACACTCGTCGATGATCAGCCATTCAAGACTGGAAAAATAGTCAAAATTATTATGAAAGTCGGTTTGCAACAACAATCAAAACTTACTACTCGATATTAATCGCCGGCGGTTCTTGCTTCAATAAAAACTCTAATCGCTGAGGCGTTGTCACGAGAATGTCGTACTTAAGTGAGCTTGCGTGTGAAAATTTTTTGCTGGCCAATCCGGTGTTACGAATAAGATGCACTCTTAGGCCAGAGCCTTCAGACAACCAAATGCATTCACGGTGAATTTGCTTTGCAAGCTCTCTGGTTGGGACTAAAATGATAGCTCGAAAGCCCACTTTTTTCGGCGCAGCTAAACGATTGATGAGAGGTAGAAGAAAAGCAAGTGTTTTTCCGGATCCGGTAGGTGCACAGGCGATTATATCACGCTCGTCCAACATGAGTGGAATGGCTTGCATTTGTATTGGAGTTGGCTTTTCGTAGTGACTTTTGCGCAAATTCTCCTTCAGAAAAGGCTCAACTTTTAGTTCTTCAAATGAGAGAATGGGGCAGTTTCCATCAGAGCCATCAAGCAATATATTATGCTCCTTTCTGATTTCATCTGCGTCGATTTTGCGCTTTTTCTTTTTTGGACTGGCAGCAATTGTTTCTTTGCAATTAATATTTTTATCTTCGTTTGTGTTTGGCTGTAAAAATATTGCGAGTTTTAATTAAAAGTTGTAATCAAATCAGCCTACATTACCTTAAACCTGTTCACCTCTCGACGAAACTTTTTACCGTCAAATTTAACGCCATGTGTAAGAATTTTAAACGGATCCATTTGCTGATAAAGCGTGAGATTTTGGAACTAAAATGATTCAAATCGGCAAAAACAAATTACCACGTGAGAAAAACAAAAAAAATCATAAGCGAACCTCTCACAAACAGAATGACGGCTTTGTTGTTGACAAGATTTATTTTGTATTCAACGCATCCAGTTTGGTTTTTTACAAAATAAAAATGGATTTCAATATCAATCCCAACGAATGTGTGTCCAACATTGTGAACACTATAAAGTCTAATGGAAGTTTTGATCTGTTTCGACGTGAATGTCTCTCCGATGTAGACACAAAGGTAACTGATAGTGATTGACAACAGTTTATTCACCAACTTTATTCCATTATAGCCATCGTACCGAAATCTTATTCAGCGAGTGGATATATGTGTCAACAAGTTTTTTTCTAAGCAAAGCTGGAATCCATCATTAAATAAAGCTCAGCTAAGAAATCGCCTTCGAAATGAAATAAATGAGTAAGTTTTTCATCATCATATGCTCTATAACAATAACCGACTTTCATTTTCAGCGCTGACCAAGTCAGAAATGGAATTCATCACTTGGTGGATCAAATAGTAAACACCAAAGTTAGATCAGAATTTAAGGAAAAAATCGAGAAATCACTGAAAGATTATCTTGGAATAAAAGATCCCGAAGAAGCGCCAATTGAAAGTGAAGAATCATCAAGCAAGCCTGGCAATGATGAAAGTGCTGCTAATGATCAGAAAGATGAAGACAAAAATATTGAAAATGTCATTGAAAGTCAAAATGAGCCTCTTTTGCCTGAAAAGGAGAACATGGAACAGATTTCGGACGAGGAGGACTTTGACAGAATGAGCATTGATAGTAGTAGCAGTTGTGGTGGTATCAGCAGTAGCAGTGGCAGTAGTCTCATTGACAGCGAATCATTGCCTTCACCACATAAATCTGAAGTGCCTTCTCCTGAGCATGAAGCTATTTCTGATAAAGAGAATCCAGAAACCAATGATGCATCTGCAGAAAAAGCAGAAAACGAGCTTTCACTGGAGGAGAACTTCGAATCACGAACAAGTGCATCAGAACTTTGCACAAAGCAGTACGATGAATCCAGCCTCGATGTTGCTGATGTTTCTCATGCTGACTCTGCTTCTAATTCTACAACGCAACAATTTGCCGATGAGTCTGTTGCCACAAACGATGGCTCTGAATCACCTTCAAAAGATGAAAGTGACCACCTCACAATCACAGCTTCAAATGAAATACTGGAGTCAACTGAAAGCACATCGAATGTTGTAAAAGAAGAAGAGGCTGAAATGAAAGAACCAGCAGAAATGTCGGATCTCAGTTCAGTTCATACCAGCGATTTATCCGATTTTGATGATGAAATATCTATCTCATCTGATGATGATGGCCATAAGGATTCAAAGAAAAAGAAAATTAGCCTCAAAGTTGTCAAAGAGCTGACTGCTTCCATTTTTGAGGAAAAGAAATCAACTGAAATCGAAGTGGACGATTCTAGTGAACAGGGACCATCAAATAAAAGTACGGCATCGAGTGATTCGGAAAACGACAAGTTAAAACGGAAACGAAAGAAAAATCCTAAATTTGAGTCGTATGAACCTGTTAAAAAGTTGAAGAAATCCACCAGTATTAAAAAGCCAGTTCCGGAGAACAGTGGAAAGGGCAAGAAACAAGAGATTAAAGAAGGTGCCAGTACGAGGCAGAGTCTGAAACGCAAACAAGGTGAGGCACCGGCTGGAAAAGGCGATGCAAAACTAACCAACTTGAGAACAAGACAAGCTTCCCTGTCTTCGGAATTTGCCGAAAAGACCCCGGCGGAGAAGAGAGGTCGTGGTAGACCGAAGAAAGCTATGTAAGTTGCCCTTTGCTCTTTACTAAGTGTTTTGCTATAATTTACTAACTACTGTAACATCTCTGAACAGGCCTGCTGATCCGAACAGCAGCAAGCGCTACGACTCCTCTGACCTGTACAAACCAAGAAACTCGCTTGCCAATACTTCCTCCAGGCGCACTCGTGCAGCAGCTGATCTTGATTCAAACTCTAATTCTACTGCTGACGACCTGTAGAATGTTACATTTAGTAGTTTTATAAAACGCTGACTGTATTTCATTTTTACTAACTTTAACTTGCTTTAGAGCTTATAAGTAAAACTATCATTTCTGGCTCATTTGTATAAGTTTTATCAATTTCTTTTATTATGACAAATGTAATGAAATACAAACGGCTAATATAAATACTGATATTGTCAATTGTTATAATAGTCAAAAATACTGAAAACTGCAGTGCTGCTCCCGGGAGCATTATTCTTCAGGCTGCAGAGTTATTGCCAGATTCTTATTTGGCCAACGGTAAGTGAAGGGCAGTTCTTCCTAAAAGAAAAAGTATGTGTGAAAGATTGTCGCCGATTGTGCAGTTTAAATCGAGAAATAATACCTTTTCGAGGTCCGAAACATCATCGAGTTCGCTGAGCATCAGGTCAATGTCTTCCTTAACAATAAGTACCTGAAGCCAGGGTCCTAGCAGAGCGTATGGCTGTTCTCGAGTTACCGATGATCCGGAGACTGAAGGCGTCACAAAGGTGATAGCGAGATCGCTTTGAATGTTTTTAAAGGTAAAGTGTCGATCGTGCTTCAAGCGTCCTCTATTTTGGTAGTTAAAATAGATGTTTTCAAAATTAAAATCTATATATGAAAATATATTGCTCGTATTTACCTCAAAGCAAGAGGCAGTAAGTTTCCTGCTTCGTAATTAAAAGTGAGATGCAAAGAGTCGAAGAACTTTGGCTGAGAGAGTTCGGCAGGCTCGCTGGCGCCGGTCTCACTGGCAAATGACAT